ACCAAGACAGCCTGCATAAATATCCCCATGTAGTCTAATAAGGAATGAAACCCACAGGACAACTCGGATGTCTTGTCTCATCCATCTTGTACTCTGTTCCGCTCTCTCTTCCTTTCCCTCTGTGCGCTCGAGACAGTCTCGTAGAGGTCTTGTGGTTCAGTAATAAGATTCACACAGCGTGAATGACAGTCGGCAGGACGTCTGCGACTATTGGCCATCTCATCACGCGAAAGAAGATGGAAGAAAACAGGCCAAACCACAAACACACGGTCATCAAAAGATCGTGCAGTATAGTTAAATGCACGTTTGTTGGGTGTACAAAACCGAATGAGTGAGTGAGAGTTCGAACCACCTTTTGATGGCTTCTTGACGGTCCAAAGGGGGTGGAAAAGCATTGGTGAATAATACGTATAGTTCATACACGTCTGACACCAGACTGTGTGCCAAGCAAGTCATGGTACAATAATCTTTATAAAAAAAGTTCCATGATTTGCATGTGGACGGAATACTGCGAGGTTGCTCAGGCCAAAGCGGGGGAATTTTCTTGAGGAAACCACAACTTTTGGCTAGCCAAAGCCTGACCCGCAAGGCAGCGAGGATGTGTGCGAAAACCGCAATCCATTGGGAGCCGATATCTAGTTCATCGTATCATGCCTCCTTTGGACGGGGTCAAACGTCCAAGGTGCCCAATACACCTCGATGCCCAATCGAGCCGGTAACCAAACGAGAGGGTGTGCGGTTCGTGAACGTCCTATTGGTTGGTTTAGAATCAGGTGTTTTGGTCAACTCCCCTCAGTGCACTACCAGTGGTCCACCAACCCGGTTATAGTGAACAAAATAGTCGGAGAAGCTCTGAGAACAGTTGTAAACAGGTTGCATAAGAACATTTTTCACACCTACTGATTCGGCAGGGTGGGATCCACTGGAGAAAACATTCGATCAGTGTCAGATTATGCTATGATTACGGAAACAAACGGAGACAAACTTCGTTCATATTGTTGTTTGGCAGATTGAAGTTTTCATTTTGAGGTTGTGAAAAGTTCGGTAGCATCCGTGGGATTCGAACCCACGCAGTAATTCGTTTAACTTCAGTAAGACTATTCGGTTCCATGGAAACCTAGGACACACAATAATCTAAGTCTAAATAATCAAGTCCAAAGTCTGTCATTACCGGCTGACGGAAATAACGATAACTATGTAACCAACTTGACGTTCTAGGGAAATAGGAAAATCACGTACAAAAATCAATTTTATCCACAGCACTTTAGGCTGCATCATGCAAACTAACGAGTTCATCAAATGGGACGAAACATTAAAAAAACATCACCATTTTGCATAATCCTTACTCGTGAAACTGGCGTAATTCACTGATACGACCAAAAATGATATCCAAAATGGACGATTCCACATCCGGATCTTGAGTCAGTGGGGCCAGATAGCCCTAACCACGTCGATAGATGAAAACAAAGATTGAAAACAAATAGAATGCAATTGTCTTCCATCATATCCTCCAAAATGAATCTATTTCGATCAAGGAATCATATTTTTCAACAACAAAGTAAGGTATACCAAGCCAACAATTCACATACGAAACGAATTATGCAAGCAGAAATAACAGAGTTGACAAGTTATGCTGGATGAATATGACCAATAAGAGATTTGTGACTCTTCCTACTGCGTTGCTATGGTTTCAAAGGTGGGTACTTTATACCGTTCTTAATAGTCTTTTTATACAAATGCTTTATAGTTCAGAGGATTGAAAACGATGCACAAAAACTCCTTATCCAGAAAAAATTTGAGATACAAGCATTAAAACCGCAATACCTAGAAGGACAGTGTTTATGTCAGTCTAGTGGTAATTCGAGATTGGGATTTGATGAGTTCAAAAACCCAGTCGAAAGCTCATTTAGCAACGCCCATATGTAAATAAAACAGTTACTAAGTCCAGTGCTTCTGTAAATCAGAGTATTTATGTTCACAGACAGAGGATCAGTCGTAGAAAGTGGGAAACTATGGTATCCATCACAACCAGTTCAAAACAGTAAGTTGCCAATATAAAACGTGTAGGATATCAGCAAACAGTATCGCTCGATCAATTTTTTACTAATCGTTATAATACGAGATGTACCATCGTGGGAATGAAACTTCTCACGACCTGCTTCATCATATTTCAAGGACAGACACTGTTCCCTTATAGCAAAGTCTAAAAGTGAAAACTAACTGCACGAAACACTCATGTCAAAAATGCGCAGATGTTTTTATCGAGCATACTAGGATCGTGGCGAAATTCGATGATCATGGAAGGGACTAAAGTTATGACTAAGTCCCTTGAATCCCAAAACTTTGACTGATGAGGTCCAAATCATTGTATCAGTATCGATGTAAAGACGAAGACAAACGCACTGAGCCGAAATAGAAATTACGTTAGATAAATAACTTTTCACTTCGTAATTCAGATGGGACGGGTGTTGGGTAGTTTTGGTGATGTAATGGGAGCAAATATCTGTATTCAAGGGGACAGGGTTTAGGGGGTGTTATTCGCCGTAATTGTTTGAACGATTTGTAGTTTGATTAAGTTTCTCGTAACGCGACGTAGATGGCGTTTGAGTGTCGCTCATCTAGGTTAGATATGGTTTTGTTGACTTTAACAACGATGTAACAGTTGTAAGAAGAAGAATATGGCATCCAGTGCAATTCATCGTCGATAGTCCAACGTGTCTTGCCCGCGCACATTTGTTGTACATAAAAACATTTCCCGAACAAACAGATGTCCTGGATTATACACTAAAGATACTTAAATTGTCATCCACGAAGGACTATCATTGAAAACCCATCCAGGAATAGGTGTTCATCGAAGAAAGTTAGAAGGGTCTTTTAGGCTTTGACAAAATTAAATTCAACTGGGGTTTCTCTTGGAGTCTCCAATCCCATCAAATGAGAACAAACACAATTCAGATGCATAGGTCACATGTCAAGAAAACTTGAAACTAAAAGCTGATGTGAAAATAGAGGGTGGAGTAGTGTCAGATTATACACTTTTCTAGGGGATTCTCAATCCGAGCCTTCGGCTAACAGAAGACTGATCAACAGGACGGCGAGAGGAAACCACATTCCATTAGAGGGTTTTAAATTATCCCAGATGAGTAAGCTTCCCGTAGCTCTCATACCCGGTTATAGCTCCGGGAAATGTTATTTTGCCCTCTACTCTTAGAGAGAACACGCGCACTACGAGCAAGCTGTGAGTAGAGCGTCCCAACAGATCTATTAAAAGATGCATTGTGTAAGAGGTCGAGAACGAGATTCCAACCGCCCTCAGAGAGAGACATTTGAGGGCACTCTAGCAAACGCTACCGCAGAGAATGCAAAGAAAATCTTGACATTAAGTCGATATTATCCCACTTTTCCCCCGTTTGCTTTGCAGTAAAGGTGATGTAACGAATAAACGCTGGAATAGGACAGATAGGGAAGTCGTGATAAGTTGCTGTTTATTTGCTAGTAACGGCAACCTAAAACTGATAAATTTGAGCAGAAAAAAATAATGAGACCTAAGTAACAGTGAGCTGGTTGAGAGCGAAGATGACCTCTATAAAGTTGCGTGGGGATGATACGAACCTNNGAACCTTTAAATTCATTAGTAACAACGACCTAAACAGTTTTAACACTAATCGCACCGCCTGGCATACGTGAATGAAACAGATTAATGAGGCTTAATGTAACCAACTGAATGAGAAACCGCTGATTGACATGCAGCTGTGAGTAAAATAAATACAATCCTCAGGCAGCTAATGTACTGAAAACTCCTTTTCAAGCATAACTCAAACTTACTTGATCTATATCGAGTAGACTTTGAACATAGCTCTTTTCTGTATTGACTAGTTCATCGATCACACAACGTAACCGTTTCAAAGCCGGATTGGCTGTCGGATACAATGTCCAAGGGTTAGTGTCATTCAGCGTTCCATCTGAACCAGACAAGCGATCCACGGAGAGGGCGAGGCGAGCACCGTTCATGAGAGAATTTTCAGATTGTACCAGTTTGTGTCCCGTACAAATAAATAGAAAAGAACTAGCAATGGCGGAGGAAGACGGAATAGTTCCACAGGTATCAGCCCCGTTTATACGCAACGTTCACGGGATATAGACATCTGAAATGAAAGCAAGACGAAGGGATCGATTATTTGGAAAAAACTGCTAGCTCATTGCATCCGTTCAAGTGTGGTTTGCATACGCAACACTGCGACACATTTGTATCCCTGGCTCACCTACAGATAAACTCCAGTTAAGTCAAATTGATGTGATCAGGATTATGTGTGTGTTCATGAATTTACTCCTCTATTGACAAATAATGTCAAACAGCATCCTACAATCCACACCAGTCCCGGTGTGCTCCATGCAGGAAAAAGGTTAGATATGGACAAACTGGCGCTCTAGTTATGCATACCAGTCAGTTCACAAAAGAGACCCTAGCCGCGATAGCTCGACCTTAGAAACAAAAATCTCTGAGCTCTGCACATTTTCCCATCAAGCATTTTCAAAATCCACAATTTTAAACCACGAAACATTTGTTTAATCGGAACCACTTGTTCTTTAACCTCGACGCATAAACCTTAACCATGCCACCGTAAGCACATCAGGTGGAAACATATGGGAATATTCTGAAGTCAAAGAATCCTGCGAAAAATTATTTTTTACAAAACTTGATATTGCGAATCTTGGAGAGAAAAAAACGTTTTGACAATTGCACGCTGCAGGACGAGATTCCATCTTGACGTGGCGTAATGGCTTGAATGTTTCCGTGACCCTGCGAGGCCTATGGGGCAACTTCTCATAGCCACAGATCCAATACTCGAGAGGTCACTGAGCAGAGAACAGACAAAGCCCAATGTTACAAGGCACTTCCTGGTTTCCTTCAATCATCCACTTTCTTCCTTTGATAGGTTACCCCAGCAAATAAGTACTTTGAAGGACAGTTTACCAGCCATAACACGCATGTTAGGAGTTTCATATATGTAATATTTGTGGCGTAAGCAAAGTGTACTTGAGAGTCGATTTATCATGCCGTTTTGTCCTTGAAAACCTCCGTTTTTGAGTTGCAGTACATATTCCAATGACATTTCGACCACCAATTTTCAGTTTTTAGGGTAAAAAAATAAAATTCCAGGACATATCCTTCAAGGAGAAGTAGCACCAGATAACAGCGCAGTCGACTGAGTCAAAGCCGCTTTGAGATAAAAGAAGAAAGAAATGATGAGCCTAGGGAAGGGATATCTGTGCTTTATAATGTGGTGAAGAGTAAAAATTTGGCTGAGCATCCTCGAACTTACCAAAAATGATCCTGCTTATCACGTGTAAACCGCTCGCCTGAGATAGACAATCGGTAAACAATGAAGTTAGTGAGAAGCTTTGAGTTGATGCTATTCAAGCTGTGCTATTTGTGGACTCACAAGAAGATCTGTCCTGTTTCTTGTGGATTAGCAAGGAAACAGAATCATGGAATTTTTCGGAAACCTGTGTGCTTTTTATGATGGATGCGGGAATTTTCTTAACTGCAAATTCAAGGCTGAGTCCCTTTCTTCAAAGGGGAATGGAGACTACGCCTAACCTCAGCATTGCTTGTCTGGTTTCCGCAACGGACTCGCTCAATGCGTCGCAGACAGTGGTAGACGCAGTCACCAGCAATGGTGACCTGAAAGGCTGTAGTCTATAACAACAGTGGAGAATCTAATGTTTAGTCATAAGAGCCGGCAATTCATATGCCCATAAAAGAGTTGTATCAGATGCGGACAAAATTATATCCGAGAATGGGAATAAATACTGTTCAAATTGTCATTATGATAAAAAGATTTGCCGCTGTCCTACCGGAATCAGACGATTTTGGCTTGGAAAATTATTCATGATCTTGAAGTCACAAAACTTAGGCAAATTAGTTCAGCACAAAAACAATCAAAAGTCAAAATCTCGGCTAACGCAAGAAGTGCGGTTTTCTACAAAGTTCGGCAAAAGTTTCGATATGACAAGGAAGACAGTATGCCCGACACATACGCACCAAAGAATTGCTGACCGCTTCAAACAACAACAGTCCGGCAATGTTTAATTACACCAAGCGATTTTACAGGAGAGCAAAATGTAGTTAATTCCTAAAACTGACAAGTAAGGCAGTACCAGCAGCAGTCTGTACATCAGGGTTGGCAGTTGGCCACCACAAGAATTTCCGTCCAAATCGTGTTGGTGGGACATTCCTTCGATCGATAAAAACGGGTGTGGGTAAAGCTAGACAGAAAACAAATCATCCGATATCTACTCTTTGGTGCAATCAGGAAAATAATTAACCACGTACAAATCCGCAGCTTAACCGAGGAAAAAACTAGACAGAATTCACAAATATCCGTATTGCATTGGGGAAAGATTCAAATTGGAACACTGAAAACTAAAAATATTCCTATCCAAAGCTACTAAGAAAACCTATTGGAACAACCTGAAATCAAGTTGGTGCTTTAAATTTCAATACATTCACTGGAAAACTTTGATCTATCTATCTATCTATCTATCTATCTATCTATCTATCT